GTTCGGGGGCGTATACCGCCGAGGCAGGTCCCGAAATTCCCGAACCCCAGATTGCGGACCCCGGAGATCTGCGGTGGGAAGAGGAAGACGACTCGGGCTACGGATGCCAGTACGACGAGAAAAATGACGAAGCTTACGATGGTCTGGTTGATCGAGAGGAAGTGTTCCGCGCCGAGGCCCCGGGGGCTTGGAACGACCGCAACGGACGTCCCCAAGGCCGCCCCGACTCCAGAGGCCCGGGACACTCTGGGGCTCCCAGACCCTCAGTTCCCTGCCCCGTGTGCAATAAGCTCGGGCACACTCGGGAGCGCTGTTGGCAGCTGATGAAGTGTGACCGGTGTGGGGGTACACACCCAACCAGTCAGTGCCGACGCCGGGAGTGCGAAGCGTGCTGTCAACTGCACCCGGCTGGGGAATGCGCACTCATCAATGCTTTCAAGGACGCGGCCCAGAGAGGACAGCTCCAAGGCCTCCCGGGGAAGGCGTTGCAGAGGTTACGCCCGGAGGCCACTCCAGCGTTAAACAATTAGGCTCGCTGGGTAGGGACCCAGTACGCGACGAGCCTAAGCCCCGCCGGATCTGCTGCGCTTACGCGTATGTAGGCCATAATGAACCTCAATGTATGTCAATTGCATCAACACCCAGCCCCGAGCCCGGTTCCGTCTACACCAGTCACGTTGCCCCGGACGAAGATGAGCTCTCATTTGAACTCCAACCCGGGGAACGCCGAGGCTGGTGGGAACCGAACGCTTGGGACGACAGCTCCTGTTTAGTGGCTTTCGTCCAATGGTTCCGTATTCCACCATCGTACCTTGCTCATGCTCGACTCCGGAACCTCGACCAGTATTACCAGCTTAGACCTTGTGCTTAGGTTAAAACTGAAGGTGGAGCCCCAGGGCGAGCTCCTGCTTAACGACATCGATGGAGTGAAGACCAAAGTCACGAACAAGTGCCGCGTCAAGATAACACTATGGCGCCGAGTGGTTTACACCTTATATGTTTGGGTCGGGAACATCGATCAAGGTACCAACATCCTCCTGGGGATGAATTTGATGGTCGCTGCTGGAGTCCGGTTGTGCGCTCACGAAGGAGAAGTGGTGCTCCCTGACGAAGAACGGATACTCCTTGTCGGGGACCCCAAGCGCTCGCACTTGGGGCGGACCATTGACGTGTCCATACACGAAAGTCTTTGGTTAGCACCCGGGGACAGCAAGTACATCCCGATTCGAACCTCGGAACCAGACCTCGAGTCCATGGACGTATGGGTCAGTCGGGGAAACCGTTGGGTGACCCTAGTGGTTTTTAGCACTAAGCGAGTCCTGGTCGCTGCTAGGGTGGTGAACATCGCCCGGAGACCGCTCCAAGTACTTCCGCACACCAAGGTTGCTACCCTGACAGATCGGGATCGGTTGCCTTTGGGGACCAACTTTCGTCGCCCGGGATCCTACCAGTACGACGAACGGGAATTCCTAGTCTACGAGAACACTCGGTCCCCTGCGACGGAACGCCGCCTGGACGCAGGGGTCCGGGAACAGAGCGGAATGCACCACCCATGGTGGACCGACCGACCTATCCAACCCCGACTCGCGTCCTCAGGCGGACCCCGAAGACCCGGGCCGTCGTGCTCGAAGTCCCTCAGTCCCACAGTCTCCGGAGCCATCAGGGGGCGAGTGGGCGAGGAAGTCGGTTCCGGACCCCCAGTGTGGGAACGGTTCCAAGCCGGATGACCCCCCCTCCCCCGACTACACTCGCTCCTGCGTCCGGTGCTGACCGCGTCATGGCCGTCTCGGGTACACCTCCAGAACCAGTTGACCCGGGTCCCCAGGTCTCGAGGAGTCGATCCTCGAATCACGAAGCCCAGGCTTCCTCGGGGGGGGGCTCCAGCGCTCGCAGTCTCTTGGAAACCCGTCCCGGAGTCCCCCGAGTCCGCAACCATGGACGCCCAAGTCGCATTGGCCCGGTCATTCGTTATGGTGGCGATGGCTGGGGAAAGTAAGCCCGCAGTCTATTATCACCAAGGTTCCGACTTCGTCCTCCTAGACATGCTCAAGAACCAGCTGGCGTATCTCCCCGACCTCAGCGATCTTCGGCCCGAGGCCAACATCGAAGATGCGATCGTCGGTGAGCCCGGGGAGTCGAACCCCAAAGAGGAGGAGAGGCTCCGGACCGTCCTCCGGAAGCACCGAATGATTTTCTTAGGAGACGGGAATGCGCTTCCTCCTCCGACCCGGGGCGTCGTGTGCGACCTGGAGGTTGGTGACGCAAAACCCATTTCCATGCGGTCCCGGAGGATTCCTGCCGACTTACTGTCCAAGGTGTACGAGTTGCTCAAGCGTCTCCTGGAAACCGGTTTGATCGAGTATTCCGACTCGGAGTGGGCATCGGCCATCGTCCTCGTGATGAAGAAGAACGGTACCGATGTCCGCTTATACATCGACTACCGGTTGGTGAACCAGTTAATCAAGCTGATGAACTACCCCCTACCCCTAATCGACGAACTCATGAGCAACTTCGCCACCACTATGTGGTTCATGACTCTGGACATGGCGAGCGGGTTCTGGGCGGTACCAATGACAGCCCGAGCTCAGCTGACCTCGGCCTTCATTTGCCTGCTCGGACACTTTCAGTGGAAGCGCATGCCGTTCGGGCTGAAGAATGCCCCTCTGATCTACCAACAGC